GTAGTCTCCTTTCAGGGAGGTGCTGCTGTGGCGCGTTAAGCGCAAGCGAGGCAAACAACCCTAGACCAGATAACTCGGAGTACTTTGATTTAAAGGGGATTCCTCAACCTCCTCCCTGGAGAGGAAGCCCTGCTGAGTGCAGTGGGATTTATTTCTGGATAAACGTGCCTGCGCTAAATTTGTTCGCTGGAATACAGCTGGATCGAATAGACTTGTCTCAGCCTCTGGTCATGCAGTAGAAAGTACATCCCACGGAGTTAGATGACATTTATTCCCTAGGGCGTCACGAAGACCCCCGTGGGACTTATTTCCCAGTAAACCAGTTTAGGATGTTCTCCAAATCTCTAAGCACGCGTCGTGTGCGCGCGGGGTGGGGGGAGTCCTACTTGTTTTCAGTTTATTTGTGGGGTTTCGTTTCGTTTTAAAGAAACGCTGTGCTTTTTTGTTTCGTCTCAAATAGCAGCTCCTGGTAGGCGGAGAGGGAGACAGACCTACAGCCGCTTCCAGACTCTCGAGCTGGAGAAGGAGTTCCTTTTTAACCCCTACCTGACCAGGAAAAGAAGAATCGAGGTCTCCCATGCCCTCGGACTCACGGAGAGGCAGGTCAAGATCTGGTTTCAGAACAGGAGGATGAAGTGGAAAAAGGAGAACAACAAAGACAAGTTCCCGGCCGGCAGGCAGGAGGGGAAGGAAGGAGAGGAGGCCAAGACAGAAGCCCAGGAGGACCTTCTAGAAGAAGGAGCAGAAGGCCCGACGAATTGAAGGTTCTCCTTGGCCAAAGACAATGCCTGGGAGAGCGGGCGCGCGAGGGCACCAGCGGCCTCTCCTCCCGGCCTTCACGGGTCTTACTCAGGCACCTTTTTCACAAGGGCCCGACCTTGTCAGTCTGTTTGTTTTTTAAAGCTACCTTATGATGTTTCTGTACTTAGTTGAGAGTTTTATTTTATTTGTTACTGCACCCGGGGCGCCCTAAACCGAGTCCCAGCTGGCTGCTGCTGCTGCTGCATCTTTCTCCATTTCGCCCTTCACGTGGAATTTGATACCGAAAACTATATAGCAATTTTCTACGCGTCCCCTCCTCGGTCTTTGTCTTCCTTTCTTCCTCTCCTCTCCTGTCCCCAAGCACAGAAAAGCCAAAACCCAACCCAAATGCTCGAATCAAGCAAGTGCACTTGTAATCTCAAAACTTTCCTTCCAACTTATTTCTTGTAAAGTAAATTAATTTAGACATTATAATGATTTTTTTTGCGGGGGTGTGGGAAAGGGGGAAGAAGAAGGAGATATTTTAATGGCACATTGATACTGAATGATCGGTAATTGATCGAAATAAAACAAAGGTGATTCCACTGTAATATCCATGGTCAGGTTTCTTCCTACGTTCCTGTTGTTGGCTGGTTGGTTGGTTTTTAATAAAAACGGCAACAACCACCTCTCTGTGGAGCCCAAAAGTGCAGCGGGACTTAGAAAACGTAGGTCAAATTACTCCAAGCAAACTTTCGCGCTTTTGCTGAGAGAATAGCCCAACCGTCCAACAGCTATGAGGCCGAGGCTTTCAAGGATACAGCGTTCGCTGTTGTCTGCATTGACTGCACGAAGGTTTTTCCTTCGGCGCTCAGCGGGCAGGATTTGGGTACAGCTCTAACGGGCAGCTTCATGACGCATTTGCTGCTGCATTCCCCGAGTTGCATTAGCCTTATGGTAGCTACTGAAAAATGAAAAGTATTCGAGCGTTTAGTTATCTGCTATAGGAGGCTTATTCGGTTCTCTGTGGAAAACGCCTGCCCTGTAAACATGAAGTGGAGTCCTATTGATTTCAGCGCACTTACTTCCACAGACGTGTGTGTTTCGGTTTTCAACCGGGTTTCTTTCAAGGAAGCATGTTTTAGGCTTGACCCTTGGAAGTGGTTGCATTGCCAAGTACAGGAAGAAGAAGAAGGCCGGATCAGGTCGTCCAGGCAACAATCCTAGACTTGGAAGTAAACCCCACTCAATCCAACGGGGCTTACTTCTGAGTAGACATGCCTAGGATTGTGCCAAAAGACACATGGTGTCTCTATCCCGAATATGGCACGGTCCCAATCCAGTTTAAAATTAATCGTAAATAAATTCAATACGAAGCAATGGAGCATTGTTGGTCTCAGTGAGAGGCTTAAGGGGGCAACCAGCTTTCTCTGCGCTGGGTCCCAGAGGCCTGCAGTCCTATGGACACTTGCGAGGAAGCTGCAGAGAGCACAGTGTGACACCCATCAAAGCAAGGAGGTTTAAAATTAATGGAAAGTCCTAGCCTGGTGTTGCAGAAAACTTCCCCACCCATCCCCGTCATAAGGGAGCAGTCCACCATATTACTAGATAAACAGCACGAGATGCCTCTTTCCATTTCTTCATGCCTTGCTTGATGTAAGCTGCTCAGGCCGCTGCTGAAGAAAGCATGGCGGGCTAGCTGGATTCAGCAAGACCCATGCTATGTCATTCGTGCAGCATCCCTGCGTATGTCTAGTCTGGGTTGGAAGTAAAGCGGAAGTTTGATTAGTAGCATTGTTTTGTCAATTGGCCATCTAAAACTTTAAGGATTTCCCAGAGGTGCCTGTGCTATATTTATAAAAAAAACTTGCCGTTCTTACTACTAACACTATGGCTGAATTATTATTATTTTTTTAAAATCGTTTGTACAGCAGTGACTGTCTTCGTGTTCTTCCCACCATTTGGAGAGGTGCAATTCCTCATCCTCATCTTGGCCAGACTTTAGCTGTTGCGATAATTAGTGTTTACAGGAGTAATAAAAACCACCCTGAGCAGTAGGCTTTCACATGCTTTCTGTGCCATACATGCAACAGCACTAAAGGCCAGGAGGTCCGTGTTATCCCCACAGTAAAAAGGAGATGAGACTGAGAGGTGTTAGTGGCTGCGACGGGATTGGAACGAGGTCTGAGTTAACGGCAGGGATGGGATTCAGCCCTGCGCCGCTCCAGAAGCCAACTCTGAAATAGCCTCAGATGGATATAACTTGCGAGAGGGGGACGCACACACCGCTATTTGGGTTCATTAGTTCATAGAATCCCAAGATATAACGGGCCTATGCATTGTGAAGGTCAGAGTGCTTAAGCACTATAAATAAGGCACCTGTGCAAGAGTACTTAATTCATCGCTGGATTGTGGTCCGCGTGTGCAGTACACTTGCGGGATCAGAACTCCATTGATTCCAGTGGGGTCCAGGCGTGCCAGCGTTCTATGGATTTTGTCCAATGTCTGTGGGTTTGTTGTTGTAGGTGTTATTCAGCAGAAAACGGGCAATTTAAGACTATCAAAGCATGGAAGTCCTGCAGATGACTGAAAACACTTCATGGCGCGATAGCAAAACAACAAAAAACTGTCCCAGGTTCTGAATAACGCGTGAGATTCCCACTGGCTTACACATTTTTTTTTACACATTATTAGCTTTATTTTCGACATTTTCTCCCCAGTAAAAATAAATAAATAAATAACACACACACCGCTTAGTTGGTGAGAAAACTGAGGGGTGTGTGTGTGTGATTTTATTTCTCGGCTTTTGGGTGATCCTGTCTGCCCTTAATGCTATCAAATCCCATTCACTTCAACGGGATTTATTAAGGACTTTCACACGGGCGCTGGCTTGAATCAGGTAATCATATCTCCACATCAAAGTGCAAGGAAACCACCAGAATTCTCCTGGCAATTTCAAAGAGGTGGCTTCTCAATCTTAAATCATGCAGATAATTAAAAGGTAGAGCCTTCTCGCGCAAGAAACCTCAAATTGTTTGTCGCTGGAAATAACGGCCTTCAAATGGTGTGGGGAGCCCTCCCCGCGCAGCCCCCAGAAACCAGACACAGAGGCCTAAGAGGAATTGTGTATGAAGTGGCCCATATATGCAGAAGAAGCCACACTTCATCAGAAATTAGTGGAGGATAAGAATTCGACTTCAGCTAATTCAGCTAAGCGCAGTTCTGTTGCTTTTCCACGGGACCAAATCCTTTTCGATGGGTGACTGTAGACAGAAACCCGGAAAGACCCCAAATGGCAGGAAATCAGCAACCTCTTGGTAGCTCATTTTATATGTAACATGTAGAACAACAGAGTTCTCAAAACTGAGAGGCATTATATTTGCATCAATCCTCCATCACCGTTTGGTACCCTGTCCACCAGTTCATCGAGCCTTTTTCTCGCTGCAAGGCGTGTTAACTCGGGCCACTTTCATCAGCCAAAATTAGGTCGCTGTAAGTCCTAAGGACTTCTCCGTGTGTGTGTGTGTGTGTGTGCGCGCGCGCGCGCGCGCGCGCGCGAGACCAGTATGATTGAAATGTGTTGAAGTCCTGTGGCTGAATCTCTCCCATTGTTCTTATTATCAGTCTTGGAGACAAGTCAATAGTTTCTTGTTTGCCCATATCAAAGCCCCTGAAACAAATTCACTTTAAATCTTTAAAGAGAGGGGCAAGTGGAATAAGGCGAAATGAGTGAACAGATACCAGGTCAAAGTCTGCTCTCATCTAACCAGAATCCGGAGGATTTACCCTTAACTAGAAGATTCCTCTATAGACATACACACACCTTATACGCACACACGGAGGGTGAGAGAGAAAGGGTCTTGTTCATTTTGTTTTGCTTGCTTTGTGCATGTGTGTGTTACCATTCGCTCTGGTCTAATAATTTCCTTAGTATATATGTACATTTCAGCAGCTATGTTAGCTGTGAAATCAGCTAGCTAAGAAGAAAGCAGAATATACTTTCAGCGCCTATAATTTTCGAGGCTCTTCTCGAATTCAGAAAATAGCCCCTCCCCGCCGGAAACGCCTTCCTTGGCCACCGCATTCCTCTACAAGCACCATAGTGGGCTGGGAACCCGTTCACGTAGAGGAACTGCGGCAAAAACTGTGAAGCAAAACAATTTGGTGCATTGATTTGCATAAATGCGGCAAAACGCCTCAGTGGTCAGTCTGGGATTGGTTATGCGGGTCTAAGACAAGCGAACTTCCAGAAACCTATATAGAAGGGATGGTGATTTTATTTTATTTTAAATGTAAATATACAAGTCAAATATTTGCAGACATTATTGGTAAAGTAGCAATACCTTTGCAACGAAGGGCAAAGCCTAAGTTCAATTGAGCCCTAGCGGAGGGAGAGTCATTTTGAGCATCTTAAACCATAAACCCTTTCAACTAGAAAAAAAGTATTATCCGATATTTATTCCAAAATTGGATAAAAATGTCTGAAGACAATTGATTCTGGAGGAGGGAAATCCGAATATTTGCTGCGCACATTCTCCTGAATATATCTATATATACGTGCACATTGCAACGCAGTATGCTTTATAATGTATTTAATCAATATATTAACATCCACAATTCATCATGAATGACGAATCTAATTAATACCATCAAACATAACACTGTCCTAGAGTTTGTCGATCCTGATTATTTACGAGGAAGCGGCCATTTTGGAATTGGGTGGAAATCAAGCTTGCGGAGTCGCTATGCGGTCCTTCAAGGCGAGAAACCCACATCTTAGATATTCAAACCGGCCCCAGTGACATAGCTGACTTGGAGGCAAATCTCAAGTGAGTCTGAACCTGTCAGGCCGCCCGGAAAGTCGCTTTCCAATAGAAGGCGCTTAAACCCTAATCCCACGTAAATGGCCATAAATAATTGGATGAATTCGCCAGTTATTAAAGCCGGCCTTTGGGTTACGGAGGGAAGCAACAAAATTCAAGTGAATTGAGTTTGGATCCCACACTACAGACAGCGGCAAATTTCCCCACCACTTCCAGCCTATCTCCAGCGGAAGAAAGTGAACCGCACTGAACATCCAAATAATGCAATTTGTACACACATTTGCTCAGCTGTAAGTGCGCAACTGAGTCCAGGGGGGCCATAAGTGTGCAGTCAGTCAGTCCCAATTGCTGCATGAAAGAAAACGGAACCAGAATAAACGTCCCTGTAGCGTGTGTGGACAAAATGCTGGGTGTATTTATGTCGGTTGAGATTTAAAGTTCAAGAAGGGGAGGCCGTTTTAAACACTGGAGGCATGCTTTGTCTCCCTCGTCCACCCTTCCTTCCACGTCTCGAATTCTTTTGCCATTGCAGATCCGGTAGAACGCCTGGTTACTCCATCAGAGCGCAGAACTCCCAGCGCGTTCTAGAACGTTACAAATCAATGGATCGGCAGCCAAGGGAGGCTTTGTTGTCTCTCGTCAACTTTCCATCCGCAGCCAGGGCCGGAAAAGCTTCTGGAGAGGCTTTTTCCTGCAAAGGAAGAGACGCTCATTAATTCGCACAAGCGGGTGGTTTTTATTTGCTACTCCAAACGGAGCTTTCAGGAGCTCCGGAACGTGACGAGCCTTTGGAGTAAAGTAGATTCGAGATTCGCAGGAGCTGAGTTTCATTGGGATGTTCCCCATTCCCAACCCCTTCAGCCTTCCCAGCGCAGGGCAAGGAGGGTCGGAGTGAGGCAGTGCAATTCTAAAGCCCAGCAGCCTAGACATAATGTAGACCTAGCAAAAGGGCCCTCGCCTGCTGGACTTTCTCCCGCCCCCGCAGCAAATGGACTTTTACGCGTTGTTGCGTTTCTCACAGGCAAGTGGTAGGGTGTGGGTTCAGGCCCCTATGTTTGGGCTAAACGCTTCCGAATCGAAACAGGGCCTCTACTCGGCAGCGTTTGGCCTCCGGGGTTAGGGGGCTGAGGACTGGGCTGTGTCAATTATTCAGAAGATTCCCACCGATCTGCTGCTCCCTGAGACGGGCCAAGGCAACAGAAAGGTGCTGGTGAGCTTTGGTAGCGCGTAAAGACAAACAGCAGAGAGAGAAGGCAGAAAGAAATGAACCCAGGAAAACAAAACCCACTGTTTGTAGCAGCCTGGGTTGGGAAAAAAAAAATCCGCAAGGAATTGCAGTAAATTCCTTTTTGTTTGAAGAGAATTTACAACTCGTAATAGACCTTTTATGACCTATTTGGGCACGTCATTGGCTGCGCCTGGTCATGTGCGAGCGCTGATGGCTTTCACGGCCTCCCCCCTCCTTTTCCCTTCCTGATTTCCCCGGCAAATCCCCCCCCCCGCTTTTTTTGCATTCTGTCTTTCCCACAGCCTCAACCCTTCTTTTTCTAACCTTTGTCTCCGATAAGGTGCATTGCGCTCGCTATGATGTTTGAGTACCGATCCAGTCCGGTCCAAGGGTTTTAAAAACAACACGCGCTCGCGCACATACACACGCGCGCACACACGCAAACGCCCACCCTCCTCCGCTGCTACCCTGCCAGTTTCCAGTCCTAGCAGAGACGCGGAGTGCGGTGAAGGGTTAGGGTGGGCGGGGAGGGACTGGGAGGGGGGGCAGAGCTCCCTTGTCTTTGCCAGCAAGGCAGCTTGTTTATCTAGCGAGCTCTCTTTCCTCCCAGCCCTACCTGCCTGCCTGCCTGCCTGCCTGCCTCCTTTGGCTTTTCCGATCGGGATGGGACTCGGATTGCTACCGAACGCGACCCCTAATGGATTACAGGGATGCGGCTGGGCTCCACGCCCTTCCACCGGGGCAGCGAACGGGTAAGGGATTTTTCAGCTCTCGTTTTCCACCACCACCACCACCTCCTCCTCCTTCCCCCCCATTTTATTCCTGACTCGTCTGCATCGCTGCAGGGCTTCCTACTTTCGCTCAGGCGCCGGAGAATGACTCCGTAAGTCATAAAAGAAAGTGGGCAAGGCGGGCGCCCATCACCATCACCACCATCACTGCAAGCGCCTGTGGTTTTTTTCTTCGCCCAAGCGGAGGCAACAGAGGCGAGGTGGTGCAGTGGGTTAGGCTTGGAAGCGCTTCGCCGCCTTCTGCTGCCACCTGCCTGGCTTTTGAGGCTTCCATGCCACGGAGAACAAGGCTGAGATAGGCACTCCCCGCCCCACTAGCGTGGTTCGCTAGTGGAATTGAATGCCTCTGAGGTTGGGTAGGCAAGAGTAGGTTTGGAAGCAAGAGAAACTGCCGAAGCAGAATTTGAAAAAATCCCCAAACAAAAACTACTAGCAAAATTATTTGGACCGAGATGTCCTGCAATTTCTACTTGTGCGCTGTTGCCTCGTCCCCCCCCCCCTCCTTTAGTGGTTTTTCTTAACAGCAGGATTCCATCCGCATGCCTTTCATTATCAACAGGTGTGTGTGTGTGTGTGTGTGTGTGTGTGTGTGTGTGTGTGTGTCCGGGTCACTAATAATGAGCAAAGCTAAGCGCTCCTACGTCCAGATTTGCTGCAAGGAGACTGGCTTACGATCTGTGGTTTCTTCTGTGCTGGGGAGTCCGACTTTTCATCCGATTAATCCTACCAAGATGACTGGGAGGGCGGGGGGGGAGGGGGAAAATCCTAAACAGAAAACAAGACCCTGTTTTAGGATTTTGCTTGCAAAGCGAAGGCCAAATGTTTGCAGTCGTGAAAACATCAGGGGATTGTTAAAACTGTACTTTGCGGGAGGGATGGCAAGGAATGTTTGTGTTATACTGTCGGATATATATAACAGTTTTGGAATGGATCGAGCAGCGGCTAGATGGTTTTTTCTAGGGCGGTCAAAACACTTCCTAGTGTGCATTGTCATAAAGAGCACGACGCATGTGGCGTGTTCCACGGTAGCTAACGCGTGGAAGGTTTAAGCAGACACCAATATGGCTGCAACATAGCAGGTACTTACTCTTATGTAGCAAGACAACGACTTCTGGAGTAAAGGCGTTGCGGATTATTGTGGTCTAGAGGGAGGATGACATCACCGTGGCGCTCAGACGTTTTCAAAAATATATTTTATATCGATCAGGCCTAATTGAACCAAGGGAGATTATCTGTCTGTCTTTCTGGCTGTGAGCGGGGTGACATGAGGATTCAATACGTTTATTTTCATAGCAACAATTATGGGAAGGGGAATAATCCATATAGCTCAAGACAGTCCAATCTTATCCATGTTTACTTGGCAGTGAATAAATTCCTTACAGTGGGAATTAATTGTTAAGTAAATATGGCATAAGATTGCAGACTGGATACAAATATCTAATATATTTCCCCTATAACTTTGCTGTTGTTGCTATGTAGCCTTAGGCGTCTTTATTTCTATTTAAAATGTTATGCTGAATCATCACCTCATTTATTTATTTATTTTTAAAGCAGGGCTGTTGTCCGGTCTAGACAAATCATTTTTTTTTAAAAAAGGTCGATTATCTCTTCCGGAATGTATATTATTATGTTATGTTATGTTATGTTTATTATGTTATGGTCTTCCTGAAAACTGGTTTGCATAATGTGATTTATACATGCATTAAATATATTAATGTAATGTTGCTTATACATCAGTTTTGTTTAAAGGCCGTACTACTATGCATAAATATTTGATCACCCCACAATTTAAAATAACTTATAGGTGATAGGAATAAATTTCAATCTTGCTAATGCACTCAATTTTATTCTGTAAAGAATGACTACTTCGTATATCCTTTTTGCGACTTGTTGGAAGTCAACACTTAATCACTCGAATCCGGTTTCCCCTCTTTTTTCGATCAAGTCTACAGAATGTGGAGTTCTGGTTTTCTAGCAATCAGTCTAGGGAAAGTTATTGGGCTGGGTGCTGGGTGGGAGTAAAATACCATCACAATCTTGCAAGGTGATTGTTGATTACAGTTTAATGGCTACAGTTTATAGCAGAAAGTCGCAAACCATCCTAAATTAAAAAAATCATGTGTGCATATATAAGTCCGCCCACTTTCCCCTCTGTTATATTGCTTCTCCCTTTCCCTCCCTCCCAGTTAGACTGCATTTATTATAGCTAAGTTGGAGACACATTGTTGATTGGTTTGTTTGCCTTTGCATTATTGAAATCTTAATTTCCGCATCTTTTTTTTTTTAACCATAAGATCTAACCCATCGTAGATTCGTAACCCAATACAAAGTACGTTGATTTAAAGAAATAAAATAAAACAAAACCAAATCACGTTTGCTGGATGACTGTTCTTTTTACAGAAAATATTCATGTTCTTCGACTTAAAATGCCAGAGTTCTTGGTGCTGAAAAACCCAGACTCTTGATTCTAAATGCATTCGATTCATTGGAAGAAAGGGGCACTGATTTCAGCGCATTTTTCTACCTTAAACCGCAATTTTAGGCATACAGCTTTAGGCTCGACCACCCTACCATTGTGATTTCCACTGAATTTTATGAGAGTTTGCCCCCAAGCTCACTGAAATCAAATTGATTGGGGGGTATTGTATTTGGGGCTGCTCATTTCATTTCCCCCTAAAAAAGGAGAGAGTTCATAAATAGACACGTTACGACCCCCTCAAGAAAGGAGAATTCATCCAGTGGTCAAACGTGGATAGTTTAATCACTTCTAGCTGAAAATGCACAACAAGGCAACAATTTGTGTAAGGAAAAATAATCTCAGAAATGGTCATGTCCTTAGTGAAGAAGAACCCACCCGTTCATATGTTGCCTGGATCTTTTGTACATTGGTGGTGGGTTCAGTGCCCTTAAATACCCATTCACCCAAAGCTCTAAAAAGCTATTAGTGGTGTGTACACACACACACACACACACACACCAGTGAACTATATTTGTCAGGGGCTGCTGTATGAGTGCTTGGAGCTGGGGGTGGGAGAGAGAATCCGAACAAAGACAGTATTTCACTCTTTGGTTGGCAGGCAGCTGTTAAAGGTATTTACAGCTCTACTGCATTGCGGCACTGAATGCTGCTACTGCTAGTGTTAAGAGCTAAAAAACAGGAAGTGAGTGTGGGGTGGTGAGGGGGAGAGGAAAAAGGAATCGCCATAAACAGTTCATTTGGTCAGTGGGACAGAGCTTAAGACAGAAAATAACACCACATTGGGGATAAATATCTCCCTAAAAATCCTTATGCCGAGTGGCTTTTGAAAACCTGCTTTTTCCTAAAGAGGAAGTATAGTTTAATTGGATGCGAGGGAGAAAATCTCCCCTTTCAAAATCTTCCAAGTAGGAAGCTGAGGGCAGCAAACATGAAACATGTGTGAGTTAAAGTGCTGGGGGGGGTGCGTGGGGAGGACACAAACACTTGCATGATCTCAGCATGGGAAGGGGAAAAACGGGTTGAGGGGCTTTCATTTTAAAAAAAGGTGGAAGTGAGAGGAGGGGCCAAGCACTTTAAGGAGAAGGAAAAGCAACGCATTGTTTTAGAGCTCTTTGTAGCGATAGCTAAAGCTTTCTATGGAGGACATTATTGCCCTCCGGTTTTCTCTTGTTTGCAGACTTAAAATTGAACGGTGGATAGGTAGCTGTATCAAGGTAGGGTTGCTGGTTTGGGTTGGCTCCTAGGATAGTCAGCAGTTCTTCCAAACTGACAGCAAACTGCGCTTTGGGAATGAATCAACCGAGCTTTGAGATTTAAGAAGAAGAAGAATCGGAGACCTTTTTAAATGTTGGACTGTTTCAAAGCACCACCAGGAAGACGTAGACCTGACGTGGAGGCAGGAGCTATGTGGGGTTAAGAATAAGGTCGGCGCAGTTCCTTTAAATCCATGTGGCTTCCAGGCTGCAGTCACCGGGTTTCATGGAGCAGCCCTTAGCCACAATCCGGCACAAGGCTAGGCCTGGGTTAAAACTCCTGGATGCCAGACCGATTTTACTAGATTTTTAGCTAGAAAGAGAAAATGGGCCATCAATGCTGGCTTGTTGGTTGTTTGGCAACCGGTTTGTTGTCTCTGTCTGGCCGACTGGCTCTGAAATCGGCCAAGCGACAGGCCTCTCTTCACTCTGAGCAGGACAGAGAACTCCCACATTGTTAGTCACCGACCATGCCTGGACTCATTGCTATTGAGGCCAATGGTTCTGCTCAAGGAACCAGCCAAGCATCAGGAAGGATGTTAAGAGTCTGGGGTCTCGCCTTGAGTGGTGTCAGAGGCTCCTTTTGCCTTTGAAACGTTGCCAGCCTACTCTGCCTTCCTGTTTGCTAGTCGCTCGTTATGTTCCTTCTTATTGTGTCCGTCTGCATTCCTGTGCTGGACGCAGAACAGCCTGGCTAGCGCAGTCTCCCCCATGCAGCCTCAGATCTCCGTCCACACTGCCAGCTTCCTTTTCTCCCGTCCCTTTAAACAACCTCCACATATTCTCAGCTGCTTTTCTCAGACCCTCAGCCTGGGCCAAGAACAAAACAGCTCAGCTCCGCGTTTCCTGTCCAGCAAACATATTCAGAGGCGGTGGGGGCGGGCGTGCCTTTCAGTTTCAGCTGTTAAATAAATAGCTCTTTTAATATTGACTTAAGGCGGGATGCCTCCACTTCTTCAACATCAAAACATTGTTTAATATTACGTATACGTGCTTTATGTAAGGAAATCCCTT